CGACTACAAGCGGCCTATCACTTAAAGGATAGCTCGGCTCAGGGTAGTTCGGTATACCACAGGAGGGCTTTCTGCTCGACCGCCGTACCCGACAAATATGTGGACAGCAGGCATGTCCCTCTCGCCGCGCCTGCCACCTTTTGAAAGGTGTCCCGCACCTAACAGATACATACCCTGCAACAACGGCCCCGCGCGTGCCACCTCAGTCTTGCCTGTAATGGCTATGGCAGACTGACAGTGGCGGTTATGCCTGCCCTGTCAGAAGTTAGAGGGCCTGAAGCAACGGAATTCGGTTATAAGCAACTTATTCTCAAGGAGCAAGGTATCTTCGAATCACTTGCGTAACCTACACTCTTAGCCTTCGTTCTCCTTTTGCTTCTTGCACACAATACTAACTTAAGCCTCGGAGCATTCCCGCCGGGAGTTCTTCCTCTTTCCTCTTGTCTCAAGTACTTCTCAGGAGCCATGCGAGCGCCAGCTAGGAGTGACCGGATTGCGCTACATCAGAATGAAAAATCAGCTTCATAGCACAAAAATTGAGTTGTCTGCAACATGAAAATAATCATGCCCCATTTTGCTCATTTCATTCTTTGAGGAAACTCTACCTATAAAACTATTGCCATAAATGTTTAGTTTTGCGAAAGCACTTTTATAAGAGTACTTTTACGAAAGTATTTTTACAAAAGCACTTTTATGGAAGTACTTTTATAAAAGGACTTACGAAAGTATTTTTACAAAAGCACTTTTATGGAAGCACTTTTATGAAAGCACTTTTACGGAAGTACTTTTGTGAAAGCACTTTTACGGAAGTACTTTTACAAAAGCACTTTAAGGAAAGCACTTATATAAAAACACTTTTACGAAAATACTTTTATGAAAGCACTTTTATGAAAGCACTTTTATAAAAGGACTTACAAAAGCACTTTTATGGAAGTATTTTTACAAAAGCACTTTTGTGGAAGCACTTTTACGAAAGCACTTCTATGAAAGTACTTTTATGAAGCACTTTTATAGAAGTACTTTTACAAAAAGCACTTTTGGGAATGTACTTTTATAAAAGCACATTTATGAAAGTACTTTTATAAAAGCACTTTTATGAAAGTACTTTTGCGAAAGTTCTTTTACAAAACACCTATGCCAAGTGGTAAACATTGACTGTTGGAGACCTAGGTTGATGGTTTGTGAATACCAACACGATTTTTTTTAAGAATGAAAATGAGCAACATAGGACATTTGTCAGTATGAAAAGAATTCATTTTTTAGGAAAAAAGTGTTTGGTTCATAGAAATATTTTCTCATTTTGCCGATTTTTACCCATTCTTGTCCATTTTAAAATTTCATCTTGGGTAAGAATGAGAAAGAATGAAAATTGAACCAAACATGACCTAAATACCTAGAAAAAGCTGTTGAAGATGAGGAAGACAAATTTGCCTTTACAAAGCCCTTGGACCAGATGGTTTCCCAAATTCCTTTTTTCAGGCTTATTGGGATGTTATTGGGCCAAGCATCATCATAGTAATTAAAGATTTCTTTCATAATGGGATTATRAACAAAAAGCTAAATAAAACCTTCATAGCCTTGATCCCCAAGTGTAAGAATCCAAAATATGCTTCTTAATTTCGACCAATAAGCCTATAACACCATCTATAAGATTAAGCCAAAATTCTGGTGAATAAGTTAAAACCCACTCTCATAAATTATAACTAGAAAGAATGATTTTTGACAATGTGCTAATCTCTTGTCAACTTTTGCATTTTATGAAAACTTCTAAACAAAAGCAAAGATTCATGGCTATAAAGCTTGATATGAACGAAGCGTATGATAAAGTTGAATGGATTTTCAAACTGGATAATGCAATGCATATCTTGTGTCTTACCAAATATCRGTTAAAGGTAGTCCAAGTAGATAGTCCTACCCTTCTAGAGGCTTGAGACAAGGAGACCTCCTATATTCTTGCTCACTTCTAAAGTTTTATCCTTGGCTCTGTGAAATTTACATTATTCAAATGCTATCTTTGGAATTAAGTTACATAATCTTTGTCCAGTCATCACTCACTTTTTTTTTGCAAACTATTCCTACATCTTATCAAAAGCAAGTATCTCGAAAGGGAGAGTGATCATGGATGTTTTAAAGCAATACGGGAAGGTCTTAGGTCAGAAGGTGAATCTCTCAAAATCAAGTATTTTTTAATCTAAAATTACATTAAAAGCTCAAAAAAATAGTATTTAATGTTTTGGCCGTTAAAACAGACCTTTATTTATTTAGGTATTCCTTCTTTTCTAGGTACTAAAAAAAGAGTATTTTCAACTATGTGAGAGAATGGAGAGTAAGTCCAAGGGTTGGAAAACTGCTTATTTATCCTTATAGGAAAGGAAGTAATGATTAAGTCTGTGCTAACTACCATCCTTGCACATGTCATGTCTTGCTTCTTGATTCTAAAAATATTTGCAACCAACTTGCTAAATCCGAAAGAAAATTCATGTGGAGGGAATCAAAAGATCAAAAAAGGATGAATTGGATTAGTTGGAATATGATATGTAAAAGTAAGTTTTATGGTGATTTGGGTTTTAGAGATTCTCATCTTTTCAATTTAGCACTTTTGGCAAAGCAAGATTGGAGATTTGGTGCAAATAGAGAGGGTTTAAAAGGGAGATTTGGTGCAAATTGAGTTTTATGATATGTAAAAGTAAGTTTTAAAGGGAGGTATCTGAAAGGTATGGAGTAATAAAACTCTATATAATTGCTCTTGGGGGTTTAAAAGCCTATTGGTAGCAAGGTTTTAAAAACCGACCCAAAAACAGAACTGTTCTAGTTATCGGTTTCTAGATCAATGGTTCGACCGTCCGAGTCGAATGGTTCAGACGGTATGCATTAGGGAAAATAGTTATATACTTATATGAGAAAAGAGAACTAGAGAAGAGAGTGAAGACTCAAGAGATTGTTGTTGACTGAAAAAGAAGAAAAGAAGGAAAGAAAGGAAGGAGAAAGGATAAGAAAAGGAAAAGGAGAGGAAGGAAGGAAGGAAAGAGGGAAGAAGAAGGAAGAGGAGGAGAATGATTCTGACGCTCACCGGTGATGGCGACAGCAAGGCGGTGGTAACAGACAAACAGATCTGAGATCGATTTTTCATTTTTTTCTCGGATCTTAGATCTGAGATCGATTTCTTTGCAACTTCTTCTTCTTCTTTTCTCTCTCTCCCTCTCTCTCTATGCTGGATCTCAGATCTAAGTTCATGTCTCAGACTTAGACTCTTAGTTTCTCCCCTCTCTACAATTTTCTTAAGCCGCGAACCGCTGTCCGGGTCAAATGAGTCGACGGTTCGACTGTCCGGCTCAGTGGTTTTCTGACGAAGTCAACGATTTTTTACCCAAAAATGGATTAGGGGTGAAACAGAACCAGTTGCTTGGACGGTTTTCAGGCCGAATGGTCCAACCATCCAAGTCAACGACGGTTCAAAAACATTGATTAGTAGAAAGATATATTCTAAAAGAAGAGGCATGTTGGATTATTTCAATTGGGGACCACATAAATATATGGTAGGATCATAACCAGTGCTGGAATAGAAAGAGATTATCACAAAACTTTGATAATCATACTGTCAACAAGATCTTGGACATGGATCTACTTTATTTTGTTGGGTAGGATAAGTTATATTGGACTTTGGACCTTAGACCACAAGGGTAGATTCTCATTCAAATGTGCTTATTATGTGGCTCTCAAGATGTCTTCTAATTAGGGTAATGTTGAAACCTCTCTTCCAGATTATCCTTGAAACATTGAAAGAAGGCTTTAATCCTTTAAAATACCCCAAAAAATCAAACATTTCATTTGGAAATGTTGTGACAATAGTATAGCAGTGAATAAAGTCTTGGATAGTAGAGGAATCCGAATCAATGAGATGTGCTCTTTGTGTTAAAGGTCTTTAAAAAAAAGCATTACCCATGCTCTTTTTCTATGTGATCACGATCGGGCAACCTGGTTTGGTTGTAAATTAAACTTTTATCTTTTGGTAACGTGTGTGAAGATTCCTCTTTTGCAAATTGGTGGTCAAGTTGGTTGGATCAGGTTTCATGTTCCAAAGAGATAGATATGCATATTATTGAATTCCCAGCTGTTATGTTATGGATTGTTTGGTAAGCGAGAAAAGAATTTATTTTTAATGGTATTTGCCCTAATCCAACTCTATCCATTGTCTATGTAAACAGGTTGAGGAAAGTGAAGATAGCTTTCCCTCAAGAATTGGAAGGTTGTTTGCATCATAGAAGGCCAAGCAATGCTTCTTTTGGTTGGAATGGTCCAAAACCAGGTTTTTGTAACTAGAACAGATGGTAGTTTTTCTAAGATTGTGTTTGGTTTGAAAGAAAAAGTAAAAAAAGGAAAGGAAATGTAGGAAAATCCATACAATGTTTGTAAAGGTTCATCTACCTTTCCCTTCCTTTCCCTACTTTTTCCTTTAATCCAAACATATCCCAAATGTCTAGGCAGTGGTTTTGGTTTCGTAATTCAGGATGACTGGCTCTTTTTTGCAAGCTAGTTGTGGCTCATGTAAGGTGATATTAGCTGAATATGCTGAAGCTTTTGTCATTAGAACCTGTTGCTATGCTGCAAAGAATCTTGGCATTTCGGGCCTGATAGTCTTAAATGACTCTTTCTTTGATTCAAGCTCTTGCCTCTAAACCTTTTGACTGTCAGCCTGCTATCCTCTATTATCCGATTCTTAGTTTGGATGGTATCATTCTGAAGTTTTGCTTTGTCAAGAGGGATTGTGTTTCAGTAGCTCACTGTCTAGCTTCAAAAGGCTCGGCGGGGTTAGTTGTTTCCTGGTTTTCTCCTCCAATTTGGCTGGTTCCTCTGTTGGAGGCTGATTCTGTTTTATTAGGTTTTGGGGTTGATAGACCTCCGTGGGTTGCTGGTTTGTTTTATATTCTTTGGTTTGCTGTTTTGTTTTTCCTTTTCTGCCTATTCTTTGTTCTTGTTTGTTGTCTTCTTGTTTGCAATCCTTTTTATCAAAAAAATTGGAGAAAAATACCATGCCTGTAGGAGGTGGATGTAGCACACTGGTAGCCCATTATCCTTACAGCACTTATTCAAGTTAGTAAAAAGGAACCCCCCCCCCCAAAAAAAAAAACCGACATCTTCCTAACCTTTAACAATTTGTGTAACTGTGCTCATTCAGAGAAACAAATTTGGTAGTGACTGACAGGCGAAATCCCTCAGTTGGTTCAGCACTGGCAGAACTACATTACCTAAGTCGGGTCGGTCCTTCCGCCGAAGCTCACAACACTTCAGCGCAAGTTTTGCAAACTCAACAGTCTCCTTCATCGGCCAGTCATTTACCCTAGGGTCCAACATCTCCTCCAGCTCACCAGCGTCCATTGCTTCCTCCATGTTATAAGCAAGTCCCATTGGAGGCTGTGCAGTGATGAGCTGCAAAAGGATGATGCCAAGGGCATAGACGTCAGACTTCATTCCCAGCAGTCCAGTCTTCTGATACTCAGGATCAATGTAACAGAAGGTCCCAGCAGCAGCCGTCATGCGATATTGGGTTATAGCTTCAGCAACAGAAGGCGGTAAAAGGCGTGCCAGGCCAACATCAGCAATTTTGCTATTGAAATTGGTGTCGAGAAGGATGTTCGCCGGCTTGAGGTCACGATGAACTAAAGGTTCTGGCTTCATCTGGTGTAGGTAGAGTAGTCCTGTTGCAATATCTGCAGCAATCTTAAAGCGTAACTGCCAGGTGAGAGGGGGAGTGTTGTTCCTGCAGAAGAGTCGATCTTCTAGGCTGCCATTAGCCATATATTCATATATAAGGCATCCATATTCAGGGCAGGCACCCAGAAGCATGACCATATTTGGGTGGCGGATGCAGCTCAAAACTTCCACCTAGACAAGTTGCATAACGTCATCATGGTAATGGCAGTAAAGTAGTGAAGTAGTAAAGTTAAAAATACTAAATACAAGGCAATAAATAAGAATCCATTTCAACTTGGAAATTCAACTTTTAAATATAGAGTTAAATTCAGGCAGATCAATGAAGAAACTATGTCAAGCTTTCACTCAACTGAACCTAATCTAGGCATCCAGTCAGATCAATGAAGAACCGACTTTATGGCAATCATCCACTCAACTGGCCCTATACTCGGCATCCAGTCAAGTTATCAGTTTGGAAATGAGTTCAACATGTATGTGGCCGTTATAGTTAGAACCACCAAGCATTACATAGAAACCAATATGGTGTCAAATAAAAAAAATGGTGGCAATTCAAGCTTATGGTTATTTGCCTGAATAAGATAAAAATTTTAGATTTTGGAACAGGCTGATAGGCATATCTTTGCGCCAAGGCAAATGCCAGGTTCTAAATTGTTTGAATATAGAGCACACCCACCCCTCGCAGTGGATAGTAACAGGAAATGGCACTGGATAGCAAGAAAAAAGACTTATATTGAGAGACAGAAATAATACCTCCTGCTGAAATTGTTTCATTCCTTGATCAGCATCAGACCTTAGAATCTTGATAGCAACAAGAGTGTGATCGAGAGTGGATTTGAAAACAGGTCCATATCCACCTTCACCAATCTTGAGATTATCTGAGAAATTATTTGTGGCCTTCTGAATTTCCACAATAGTATATCTCTTATACTGAAAATCTGGAGAAGCATCACAGACTTTCATCTTCTCCATTTGGGCAGCTTGATCTTCTCCCTGTGCTAATTTAAATCTCTCTTTCTCATTTCCTGCCATTTCCTCTGCAAAGTTTTCTCCTATCCCTTTCTTCCCAGCCATCCATGAGTCAAGATCTTTAGCCTGTATACCATAATGACAAATGAAACACAGAAGGAAAAGGTAAAGTCTTTAATGTATTACAGGGGATAAAAGAAATTCCATACAAAATAAATAAAAAAAAAAAAACTTAGCAGAAGTCATTAGTGCCTGCCTTGTTATGCACACCCATCATTGGATGAAATTCATGCTTCAGCCTACCTAATTCCGCTTCCTCTCCTTCCTGTGATTGCAAAAAGCAAGAGTCCAGTGACTCCCTGGTGAATATGAGACTAAGAAAACTGTTGGCAGGGTTCTAATTTCCAGATTCATAGGTTACAAAGACCACACAAACACAGATTGGAGTCATAGTAAGATATGCTGTAGAGTTCTGCATGTGTGAGAAAAACTTTTGATGCTAAATTTAGAAACCCCAAATTTTCAAAAAACAAAAAAAAAGTTCAGCAATAATAATAAGTTTTATTTTTCCCATTTTCTTGGGGGCAATCACCAAAGGGTTAAAGGCTTAAATTCACTAATTGGTCACAAGCTAAGAATTTTCCAATATTAATAAAGAAATCCCTAGTCTTTTATCTGAATAAAAGTGCTAATTTATCAACGGGGGGATCCAGAAAGCATGACTTCATTTATCAACTTAAACTTTTGTGCACTAAATACATGATGGGACCATTTAAAAAATAGTAGTAGGAAAAAAGTGGGCATTGCTGTCACCATGTCTGCATAGCACTGAAGTGAAGGGAAATGCATAAATTGCTGCTTGTTAGAAAGTTACAAAGACAAAATATGAAAACTTACGCATAAAGAAACTATTAAGAAACAAAACACACAAGGTTTAAAATGTCATTGTCGGTGGTCAGTCATCCAAATATAGAAAACATGTTGGAAATGTTAAAATGTTATATGAAAATATTGTAGATATTGTAAACATGGTAGAAGCATTGTGAAATGTGAAAAAAAAAATACACAATGATATTTTATGAAACAATAAAAGAAGCAATAAAAACACCTTTTTAGATTATTATCTTATTCCAAACCATCAAACAAGCCAAGAAACTAAGGTCAATAGACAAAATAATACACTGCAAAGTTGTCCTGTGGACTTTGAAAGTTTCAACTACATAATAAAGTTCAAGCAAAACTTAAACTCATAGAATATACAAATAATTCTAATAGATCAGCCAAATAATCTATTATACAATCAAAAATTGATATTATTGTCACATTCAAAAAGAAATTTTAGCCAGATCAAAGTGGTCATCATCTCCATTAGGCAGGTGATAATACTATTGTTCCACATATATAGAATACTATTGCCAACTCATCATGTTATTATACCACCATGTACATAATGCCACTAATTTTCATTGGGGAATATGTTGATTCCAGTAATATTTTGTGTTGGTACCCATAGAAATGGAAATATGTCATGGAAATATTAAGAAATATGTCGACATTTTAATCTCACCATATATGGATGTACATATCCATAGAGGATGTATTGTCTTCCAAAATTGATACTAACAAGCAATGATAAAAAATGGTACAAACAGGCCCTAAAGCAGGAAGTAGGTAGGTCAGAAGCATACCAGTGATTCTGCAGAGCAATAAGATTCAGTACTCTGGTGTGAAAGTTCATGCAAATTCAATCCTCCAGACAATTTCTGCTTTCTAAATGTACTCAAATCGAGGCTTCTAATATGTGCATTGGGATCTTGGTGCAGATTTGAGAAATGTGACTTCTGAACCCCAACATCTACATAATCTTGTTGGTAGTAATTAAGATGTTGATCAATGCCAGTCCTACCTGGGTTTGGACATGAAGCTGTACTTGGATATAAAAATTCTGGATTAATCCTTTTATGCATGTTGCCATCATAGCTTCTTGTAGAAAACTCCCCTTCTTGACCTCGTCCAATTCTTCTATTTCTCACCAACAGAAACATGATATCAGATAATGGCTCTAAACTAGGAAGAGAGCATAATAAAGCCCTACGAGAGAGAAAAAATGAGAAAATTTTTGCTTTGTAAGATTGGCTGATTGGGGATTTCAATAAGATCAGAAAATGGTAAAACTCCATTTATATATAGCAGACAAGCATATCCATGGTTGGTATTTGGCACCCATCAAGGGAACTTCTAAAGCCAACAATTGGATCCAAAAGGGTAGAGTTCAAATTTTGTTCTGGCAGATATCTTAGGTGTGCCAATTGGAGAGCAGGTTTTCCAAATGCCAAATTTATGCCACATGATATGCAAGGGTAAGATGATGTCCTCCTATTTTGCTTCTATTGTTCTTAAAGTTGTTTATTTGCTTCATAATTACTTGTAAGAATATTAAAGAAAAAGCATGGATGAGAAAGTGAAGTAGTTCAATAATTGCAACAATAGCTGGTACCTTGACTGCTTTTGAAGCTCGAATTCACTTCTAGGTTATTGCCAATCAAGATATGCAAATGGATTATGCCATTACCCAAATTCTACCTAATACTAAATACTTATATACATTTATAAATGGATAGGAACCAGAAACACCAAACATGATTAACCTCCAGTTTGGCAAATATAACTTAATCTGATCAATTAGGATTCTTTTTTTTTTTTGATGAGTAGATCATCTAGGATTCATCTGTACATAGTTCACCAGTTTCTGCCACGCGGAGGAATCATGTGGTCAATTGGACAAGGGACTGTCTAGATCAACCATGCCTTTACATACCCTGTCTATTATGCCCAGATACAGATACATACATGGACACGGTTATGGGGATGAAAACCTCTGTGACTTCTATACAGTGCACCCACAACCTGTTTATTATGCCCTGCTACAGTGCAAACCTCTACAATAGAATTGTCAGCTTCTATGAACCCACCAAATAGATTGTTCTTTTAAGAAGGTAAAAGTATTGTTTTGTATTGATAAAGAATGGAAAAAGAGAGTACATCATCCCATGTACAATGAGAACCTGTACATTGGGAATATACAGAAAAAAAAAAACATAGAAATCATCCAAAGAAAGGTCTTGCAAAAAAGAACCAAGTTGGACACCCTAAAATATTCTTTATACACCCAACCAATAACAAAAAAAACCTATAAGATTACTCTTAACTTCCTCTCTAAGTCAGAATACTTGTTATCTGTTAGAACTGTTAATATTTTATGTAGTATGTGCCGCAGGGGCACTAATGCCTTTTTACCTTTTTTATTATGTCACCCTATATATAGTAATAGAACTGGTGCCGCCAGAACACTTTTTTAGACTCCAACACTTTTTTATTATGTCACCCAGTGCAAATACTGGGTCTGAACAGATCGATCAATTTTCCTCTTCTTTTTCTTGCTGTCTTCCCCAGATTGGGTTCAAGAAATATACCTACAACTGATTCAGAAGAAATTTCTTTTTTCTCTCTCTTCCTCTTGGTCATGTACCAAAAAAATCTATAAAACTAAGGTGGCTGAATTCGTGAAGAAGGTTCAGTGGTTTTTTAACCCCTGTTTGTGGATTGTGTGATCCTTGTGACTGAATATGAGTTTCCTCTAGGTCACGAATGACCTGCTTTTGATGTGACAGCACTAGTTGTATTGTCTCCAGGTGGTTGTGGTGATTAAGTGGCCTAGGATTGTGGTGGACTGTGGCTGTTGGATCTTTTTTAGACTTGAAAACAAGCTTGGAACCTGTTTTCTGGGGGCAAATAGTGCTGTGTGTGTCCAGACTGTAGAGTAGTTTATGTGGACTGCAGTTCTAGTGTTCCCCAAGGGCTGACCTGTGTTAGAAGTGATTGTTGTGTGCTTCCATCAGTTGTATTTAGAGATGAACAGTGAATTTGATCATGTCCTCTGAAGAGTATGCATCTTCTGGTGTTTCCGCAAGTCCAAATGGTCTGAGTGGGGGGATTTCCCTATGGCTGTAATTCCCCTTGATGGACTTAAATACCTCAAGTGGTCTAAGGGAATTAAGCTCTACATTACTGCAAGAGGGAAGATAGGTTATATCAATGGTAAAGGGAAGGAGCCAAAGTTGGAAATGCTGAACATGATAGATGAGATCAAGAGAATAGTATGGTAATGTCGTGGCTCTTAGTTTCTATGCTGCAACAAGTGAGAAAGGCCTTCATGTGGGCTGAAACAACTTATGAAATATGGGAACGGACAAACCTACCTATTCAGAGCAGAGAAATTATGCAAAGATATATCAATTGCAAGCTGAATTGTCCACTTGTAAGCAGGGGGAGAGGAGTCTTTCAATATATTACTCAAATTTGACATCAATTTGGAAGGAGTTGCATCATTATCAAAGTGTGGATTGGAAATGTGATGGAGATGCAAAAGACTAGAAGTCTCTTGTCTCCCAACAGTAAATATTTGCTTTCCTCTTGGGGCTGAGTCCTATGTATAAGTCTATCAGGGTGCAAATTTTTGGAAGTAAGGATCTCCCTTCAATCAAGGAGATTTATGCCTTAGTACAATCTAAAAAGAATAGAAGAAATGTGATGAATTGTTTAGATGGGGAGCCAGTTGCCTTGGCAGTCAGAGGGGGTACAAATGAAAATGGTGGGAGTTCTTTTAAGAAGGGTGACTTCCAAATGAGGGTGGATGATAAGGATAAACTTTGGTGTACTCATTGCCAACGGTCCAAGGACACTAAAAAGACATGTTGGGATCTTCATGGAAAGCCTAAGTGAGCTCAAGAGTTAAGTAAAGTCAGCATCTAATCAGACTAAGAAACCAGTTTGGCAAAGTCAAAAGAAGTATAACAGCAAATATGGGCTCTCAAGAGACTTGCCCCACTATATCTCAGGAACGTCCCTCCAGTTCTGATCCCCACAAAGGAGTATTTTCACAGTGATCTCACTGAGTTCTTTGCTTYGCATGGGTCTCTTCACCTAAGTTCCTGTGCTAAAACACCTCAACAAAATGGTGTTGAAGAAAGAAAAAAAAAATCATCATCTTATTAAGGTTGCTCATGGACTATTATTACATATGCATGTTACCAAACGTTTCTGGATGGATGTTGTTATGTCTACTGCATATATCATCAACTATATGTCATCTCGGTTTTTAGAGTACAAGGCTCCACATCAACTTTTGTTTCCCAAGGCCCCTTTGTTCTCTATTCCTATATATGCCTTTGGGTGTTTTTGCTTTGTTCATGACTTGGCTCCTACTCATGGTAAGCTTGACTCTCGTGCTTTGGTCTGTTTTACACAAGTACTGTCTCCATTGATGTGTCCTTCTTCGAGAGTGAACCCTTCTTCCTTGTTTCTCCTCAAGGGGAGAGTAGGGATGAGGAGAACCATGTTCAGGTTCAACTTTCTCCTCTTCTTGATCCTCCTCCATTCCGTGTTTTCCTTTGCCACCATAAGGACTAGCAAAGTTTAAGAGCCATGGAACAATCTGAAGCTATGCTACCGACACCATCAGACTCTCTAGAGGAAAATTCCTCTCAGCCAAGTACTCTTGTTTCTATTAATATGCTTGGTCCTATTGAGATAGATTCTTCTGCTATTGATGATCTAGATATTCTTATTGCTAATAGAAACAGTGTTAGATCTTGTACTATTAATCATCCTATCTCTCACTTCATTTCCTATGATCATGTTTCACCTTCATTTCGTGCTTTTTTATCTCCATTGGCAGTGTTCCTAATGTTGCAAAAGCTTTATCCATACTTAAATGGATAGATGCAATGAAGGAAGAAATTAATGCCTTACAGAATAATGGCACTTGGGAGTTAGTAGATCTTCTTAAAGGAGAAGAACCAATGGGATGTAAGTGGGTCTTCATAGTGAAGCACAAGGATGATGGTATGATGGAAAGATACAAATCCAAATTGGTGGAAAAAGGGTTCACACAGGTGTATGGAGTGGACTATGCAAAGACCTTTGCCCTTGTAGCCAAGATGAACTCTATTAGAGTCCTCCTTTCACAGAAAACTAATTTCGACTAGGATCTTCACCAATTGGATATCAAGAATGCTTTCTCGAATGGTGATTTAGAGGATGAGGTATACATGACTCGGCCTCTTTATATGGGTTGAAGCAGTCATCACGGGCCTAGTCCAGTAGGTTTAATTTGGTCATATAGCAGATGGGGTTTAAACAATGCTAGTTTGACCATACATTGTTTGTAAAGAAAGGTGAAGGAAAATTTGCAACGTTGATAGTGTATGTTGACGACCTAGTGGTCATAAATGATTCGAAAACTGAAATATAGAAGTTGAAGGAGTTCTTAGCCATTTAGTTCAAGGTGAAAAATTTAGGTCCCTTGCACTATTTCCTTGGGATTGAAGTTGGCCGCTCGCAAAAGGGATTCTTTATTTCTCAAAGGAAATATGTCCTAGATCTATTAGAAGACACAGGCAAGTTAGGAGTGAAGCCAATTGATTCACCCATTGATCCTAATCATTGGTTGGGTGACAATCAGGGGGAGGCTATAAAAGATGTGAAGTAGTACCAAAGATTCATAGAGAGACATTTATATCTATCCATGACCAAACTTAACAATGCTTACGTTGGGGTTGTCCTCATTTAGTTTATGCATAACCCCAAGACCACACATTTTGAGGCTATTGAGAGGATTCTTAGTTACCTCAAGAAGTTTCTAGGGGCTGGTTTGTTATTCTAGAAGCATGGGCATTTGAAAGTTTGAAGTGTACACATGTTGACTGGGTAGGGGCAGTAGATGACAAAAAATCTACCGGTGGATATTGTACTTTTGTGGGAGGTAACTTAGTCACCTGGAGAAGTAAAAAACAGAGTATGGTGGCTAGGTCCAGTGTAGAAGCAGAGTACAGAGCTATGTCCCATGGAGTTTCTGAAATTATGTAGATAAAGAACCTATTAGGTGAATTGGGTTTTGTAGTTAAGAGTCTCATGTCACTCTATTGTGACAAAATGGCTGCCATCAATATTGCAACCAACCT